ATGATGATGATTATGATGATTATGATGATTTTTAACAGTCGCCCACTGTGTACTTTTTGTACTTCTTATTCACTTCCGGCAATTAATAACGTATCTTCGGCATATCGGATGTTATTAACAATTCTTCCGTTGAATTTCATACCTTCTTGTACCTCATCCAGAGCTCGTGCAAGTTTCTCCTCCGAGTACATGTTGAATAATATTGGAGGGAGTATACAACCTTGTCTAACTCCTCTTTGATTTTTTATAGTATCAGTGACCCACGTCTCCGTTCTAATAAATGCATTTTGGTTCTAATAGAGTTCACGTATCACCGATGTTCCTTTTGATAGGGACATTTCACTACCTTTAAAAATCCGATTAATCAAATGTTACGGAGCCCCAGTTCTACTTTATGGGTTTGAAGCCAGGATCCTGACAGGACAATTAATGAAAAAACTCTCGGTCTTCGAAATGTGGATATATAGAAGAATTATCCGAATACCCTGCACAGGAGATATAATGAATAGGAAAGTGCTCGAAAGACTAGGTAAACAACAGAAAATTGCGTTTACAGTGAAAAGAAAACTAGAATACTTTGGTTATGTTATGATACACAGTAAATATCACCTCGCAGTAGCTCATTCTCTAGGAAAAAGTGGATGGAATGAGGTGTCCAGGTGAAAGAAACTCTTGGATGCAAAACCTATGCGACTGGTTCGGCTTAAAATATATCCAACTATTTAGACAAGCCTGTATGAAGTATGGCCTGTAAAGACGGTTCAGGAAAAGAAGATCGAGGTAACTGAAATGAAAATTTTACGGTAAAACTAGAAGAGACAATATCAGGAACGACGTGGTTAGGGAAAGAGCCGGGGTGACTAAAATCTAAAAAAAGGTTTGAGATCAAAGAACAACGGCTCCTGAAATGGGAAAAGCTGAGAAAGAAGAAAAAAGTATATAAGATCTTTGACACGGCTATTAATAGATATTAGTTTCTTTGAGGTCAGGTTTCTTTGAGTGTCCTCTTTAATAACTGGTACCACTATCGCCATCTTCTTCTTACGGTGCCTTATCCTTAAGGACGTTGGCCATTACATTTGCGCATTTAATCTTATTTGTAACAGCCCTGAATAGTTCTATGTAGGTCATGTTCGTCCATTGCTGTAGGTTTTTAAGCCAAGATTTGCGTCTTCTTCCTGGTCCTGGACCATCCTGGACTATCGCCATAGACTTTGAAATTGATCCAATGATAAAGGAGAGGTTAACTAATTTATTTAGTTATAATTGCTAGCAACTCTCTAATAGTATCAACACTAGCCATCGCAAGTGTAGATTTTCCCTTTTTAATTTTCTTATGACCTCCCTAATATGGTTTTCTGAGACTTGTTACTATTGAAAAAAATATTTACATGAAGTTTTGATGGAGGTGGTATGTTTTTTGCTAGAGATTTTCCTAATTGCAAAAAGTATTGGCTTAATTTATTAGGTATGTCCTGGATCTTATTAAATGTAGAACTATGATATTATAACTATTGGATTGTTACTGTCTCTTCTGTATGGAGTTATAAATAATGTGATTTAATGTTGACCATAATTTTTTGCTGTTGTTTAATAATTTATTTGAGAAATTATCTTTTTTTGCTTTAGCTCCAATTAACGTTTTTGCACAGATTTATAAGTATCCTTGAGGAACTTGCTATTTGTAAACTGTTTATGCCTTCTATAATGAAAATGCCGATTTGAAACAAGGTTGTGTAATGTTATGTTAAACCAGGTTACTTAAGAATTCTTACGATTACATCACACAAGGATTTGAGTTCCTTCTTTATTGAATGTATATTGGACTTAAAAGCAGCTGAGTATCTTGTGATTTTAGTATAAACAATTTTATTTAGTATCGCAAAACCATGGGAAGTGATTGTTGGACTTATTAATTTATACTAAACTCCCTTGGATCAGCTTAAAGTCACACCATATCCAGATTGGTATTTTTGTTTATAAAAATGTTTAATTTCATATCCACTACCCCCAAAAGATCATTGTGATGGAAATCATTAGGTCTGTGTACTTCGCCCACTTAAGAATAGTATTCATCACTTTGTGTTATATCTATATACTTCAGAATAATCAAAATAGTTTTTTTTATAAATATCCCTACACATACGCCTGCTTTCTCCCTACGTACATACCCTGAGCTACGAGTATACCCATTGACATTAACCCATTAGCACCGTGAGTTGCTTTAAAGCAACAGCAAACATGTCTGTATTTCGGAGGATCTTTGGCAACCGTGTCAATTCCATCAACCATAATCGCCAATACTCAGTTATGCTTATTTCTTTACTGGTGTTAAGAACTGTTTATTAGTGGTAATATATATATATATATATATATATATATATATATATATATATATATATATATATGTATATGTATATATATTGTTATGATTTGTTGTTGTATGAGCAATGAGTAAATTTGAATGATATTTGTAAGTATAGGGTTTTTATCGCGGTTCTCAAAGGATTAGTTTGTAAGTACTTTTTTAAATTATCATTATTATAAATATTATGAAACAAACCTATCTATCTAATATAAGCAATATCAATTTAAAACAATCTATCTAAAATTTGAAATTCTTACAATTATTAAATTATTAACAAAATTTGGTACCTTCTTTCACTAAACGCCTAAAGTTTTTCCAAAATTAAAGTTATTATCACCACTCGATATCTTCTTACTAAGCCTTGGTTATCCAAGTATGTTAATATGTTCCTTTTTAATTATCTCCACTCACCATATAAATATATATTTAACTCCTTGTAATTTCCATATACTTAATGTACTTTGAAATATACTGGATCTTGTGGTTGTATTATTGAATGCTTATTTCAATGAATTAACTTCAAAACTGTCACTATATTACTGTAGTAATAATTAATCTCCAACTGTATTTAACTTAATAATTCATTTAACTTAATCAATGCCTTCTTCTAGCATTTAATAATCTCTTCATAACCTCATAAATAACTGACTTAATAATCCTTAAATTGTTATAACTAACTCCTCAATAATAATCTTGTAACTGATTTAATATCTTCTAACTCACCTAACTCAATTAATAATCTTCTTGTAACTAAATTCTTGAATTATAACTTTACTAACTGATAACTGAACTGGTAACTGAACTTAACTGAACTGAACTCATAACTGACTTGAACTAAACTCTAACTCATAACTGACTGACTGACTTTAGGCTGTCCAGATTAGAACTACACTATTATTTGTAACTTAAACATTTATATTAAATATATTTTTACTATTTTACATCCACAATTATATTCTAAATTAACATTCCAAAAATAAATAACTTTTTGACTTTGACACTACAGTGTATGTTTGGTTGCATATGCTGACTTAAAAATATCTAATATAAAATAAAATAAAAAAATTTCTTAAACTTAATTCTTATGCTAAATTCTTAAAAATACCCTCATATAATTATTTTTTTATAATATTATCCAGTATATAACTTACAAATTATGTCTCTAACCACTATTTAAATAAATCCACTAATCAACACTGTATATCTGGTTGTATATATTGCTAAGTTAATTTATTGTATTTCTGTTTTCATTATAATATATATATATATATATATATATATATATATATATATACATATATAAACATATTTTAAATGATTTATATGAATTGATAAATAACTACATATTATGTACTTCTCAGTACCTGTAACCTAGCCGTTGCCTTAAAGTAACGCTAGATGTTTGTACTACCTATATGTTAAACTTTATCATATTTGTTCTAGACTAGGTTTTTTGCTTACTCAATATGATTTATAATGATGAACTGATGAACAAATTGATGGACAATGTCAATGCAGTAGTAACAATCATTTCATCCTCCTGCGGCACTCAATAAGTAGGTCAAGTAAGAAGATTTTCTCAAAAACTCAAACGAAACTTGTTTCTTTACCGAAATTGATGACCAAAATATAACACATTTATGGTAGGAACTGATCAAATTGATCGGAATGTAAGTTGCTACTGGATCAGTAGTCGTGGGAAAAAAAATTACATGGATACTCGATGTTGCATTACAAAACAGTTGGATATTGTATAATAAAACTGACAGAGAAAATGTATTGTAGTTAAATTTTACAGGAGAGATTGTACGCACGTATTTAACGAAGTATTGTGTACTTAGCAAAGGAAGTGGAAGGCTATCAGCTTCCTTGACAGCATCTGTCGATAGCCGAGTATCACATGACATTCGTTTTGACACCATAAATCATTTGATACAATACATTCCAGATGGTAAAAAGAGAAGATGTGGGTTTAAAACGTGTAAAACTATTGTTAGAACAACGTGTTTAAAGTGCGATATTGAACTATCACCCAGTATTACATTTTTTTTATGAATAAATCTCTATTTTTGTTTTATTGTCTACTTTACTGTATCCCAAAATCTTTTATTTCTTATACTAATTTTTAACAAAAACTAGGTAGTCTCAACGCATAGCTTTGCTTTAAGGCAACAGTTAATATCTCAGAAATGAAATATGCGAGAAAAAATATTTTAAGAAGTTTTTTTATTACTTACAAGCAGTACATTACTAATATTGCAAAAAATAATACAAAATCAATAATTTATTAATCTCTGCCTTAATGGGTTAAAATATGTTTCGTGACCTGCTCTCAACCAGTGTTCAGCCACTGCAATCTGGCATATTCAACTTAACTACTGATATTTCTAGGTCTAAAATTGTATTCCTTATTGATTGAGTGTTTAGGTAAAGTATACTAAACTGAATCAAAATAAATTATCCATTTGATTAGGATGAGCTAATAAATGGAAGGCCACCATTTTTCCGCTAAATCCCTCTCAAAGGTGGAGGAACCTACTAACAACGGTCAACCACATAAAGATGCAGAAGGCAATGGGGAAACACTGCAATAAAGACTCGGAGAGTATCCCTAGTACAAATTAGCGTGACTATGACAAATCGTATAAAAGATATTACTCATTATGGGATTCAGATACCTAGATCCGGCAAAGAAGGACAATCACAAGTTGACAGGGCCTACTCGGTCTCCAACACACGAAATCCTTGCAAATTTATTGTAACCATATAACCTAGGCACCCATATTAAAGACACTAGTATATTTTGCCAGGCTGTTAAGGATATATTTGCAGTTCTTCAGCAATTTTGATTTTATGAGTGTGTTCTTTACTGCCAGATTAGCGGATTGCTATCTGTATAAATGTTGATTATGTTTGCTTTTACATCTATGATATGATTTCATCAATGCATGCCACCAAAGCAAAAACTTTAGCCTGGAGCATAGTTGTATGAACACAGGCTTGTAAGATTTATCATAATACGTTTGCGTCTGTTAATACGTGCATGTTTTGTATTTTGTTTCTGAACTTGAATTTTTTTCAGGACAAAAATCCGCACAATGTCCAACTTTACGATGATCATTCTCATTCATCGCGTAATGAATTAAAACAGTTTAAAAATACCAGCGAGTTGGAAGTATTGAATCAGAAAGAGAAGCTTCACAATGCACTTAAAGGAAGAGTGATGTTAAAGACTATTTTAGCAGATGGAAAGAGTACGAGGCGATATTCTTCGTCAAGTTCAAGGTCTGACATTTCATTGGATATTGATGTAGGAAGTTCACGTAAGTAAATTTTTGTTTGTATAAATCCCTCAAAATTTCAAAGCTGATCTAATTAATAATATTATATTTGATATCTGCAGAGGTCCGTGAGAAGGTCCCGATTTTAATTTCTGATATTTTTATTATATCGTTGTTTTATTCGTGGAACTATATCATTGCCAACATGGCGTTAAAATCACCCATAATGATTATATATTCGTCATTTGAGGTCTCGTTTATTACAGTCTGAAGGTTTTCATGGAAGTTTTCTCTTGTGGTATCTCTGTTGTTCTCAGGTGGATAAATTACTATCACATTGAGGTTTGACATCCAGTTTGACTTTTACATTATTCTTATAGATATATATTTACATTCTTTTAAATTTTTTCTGTGTACGAACAGGGCGACTCATTTTTTGGCTCTGGTTTCTTTCGCAACACCACTGAAATCATCAGAAAGTCTTCCAACGTAATTTGACCCTTTAATTTTTTTCTTAGTGTCTTGCTAGTGTACAAATATCAACAAAGGAAAAGGATACAGAATGGGAACAAAATAAGTAAAAATACTCTGTTGCGCAGACGTCGCAATATTGATAGTCCGAGATGAAGATAGTCTATAAAGAGTAGTCCACAGATTTAACATAAGAGCAAAAGAATTTAATAAGGTGATCTCAGCTCAGAAAACTAAAATAATAGTAATCAGTAAAGAACCAATCATATGTAAAATAGAAATCGATGGCATCAGTATTGAACAAGTAACAAAAATAAAATACCTTGGAACTACACTGTCCCACTATGGAGACATGAACAAGGAAGTGAGAGATCAGGTACAAAAAGCAAATAGACTGTCCTAATAACACTATATGGCAAAACTGATATTAACACTGAGAAGAAGTCAAGAATTTATAAAGCCAGTATAAAATCAATAATGACAGTATGCATCAGAAACAAGACCCGACACAGCCACAACAAAAAGGATACTGGAAACGGCAGAGATAAGAGTATTGAGAAGAATTACAGGAAATACGCTGAGAAATCGAAATAGGAATGAAGACATTAGAAGAAAATATAACGTACTGTGTATAAACGAATGGACACTAAACAGAAAAAAGAATGGAATAACTACATACGCAGAATGAGGGAGACTTCGCTGATCGAACATATATTCATCGTGGTATGGCTGTTGCCCAATCTATCAATACTGACATTTATTTTGTTAATCCTAGCTTCCTTTGTTAATCATAATATGGCGCCATCTATTAGTTATATTGCGATTTAAAATGACAGAAAAACTAGTTTTGAAGTCTTTCGTACAATTTTTTGAAAATTATCTTTTTCAAAAACCTTCTCCTCTGCACTTCTAAACTTCATCACGAAAAACGAACTAAGAATAAACAGCATATTTTTTTACCACAAAGATCAACACAAATTTACATTTAATAACACCGTGGACAAAGATCTATGATAGATCTATGTAGGTAGCGACCATAGCCTAGTATTATGTAAAATAAGAATCATACTGAAATACTTCCCGCCTAAGAGAGCGGCGCCAACACAAGCAAAAATCAAAGTCGAAGGACTAAATACGGACTCAACGGAATACTTATTTAGAAAAAGAATATAAGAGAAGATCGCTGGGAATGAAATATTAGAAAACGATAACATCGGGGAAGCTGGGAAAAACTCAAAAATAACAGAATTAATGCAGAAACATAATCACTTGGAAAGAGGAAAGTAACGAACATTAACATATCGAAAAAGAAAACACCATGGTTTAGAGAGGAAGTGAAGACAAAATTTGTAGAAAAGAAGAAAGTCTTTTTACACAACAGGCATACAACCACTATAAACGAATCAGAAATGAAACGAATACTTTAGTTAGACAAATAAAGAAGGAACACTGGCAGAGTTTCTCAAAACAGATGGAACATGACTTCTACGGATCAAGGTGACGATAATGAACCACCAACACCAGAGGTGACGACAAACGAAGAAATAAATATTGAGGAAGAAGAGGTAAAGGAAGCATTAAGGAAATTAAAAAATAGAAAATCACCAAGACAGGACAGAATACCGAACGAATTAAAATAATAAATAATCTGCTATGCTGACGACGCAATACTATTCTCTCAAAGTGAATATGATTTACAATGTTCCAATGCTGCACCAATTTAATATAACCGCCAGAAAATTTAAAACATGTTAATTTCCCCAAAAAAGACAAAATGCATGGTTACAAAAGAAAATTTACTAAGATGTAAATTGGAGCTGGAAGGTCGGATAATAGAACAAGTGATGTAGTTTAAATATCTAGGCATCTCACCATCTGGCTACGGAATGCTCGAAACCGAAGTGAAAGATCAAGTGAATATATACACTTATATAGCAAACAGAGCCGCAGACTGCCTAACTGAAACAATATAGAGAAATAAAAATATCGGGAAAGAAACGAAAGGCAGAATTTACAAAACAGTCGTCAGACCAATAATTATGATTACGCTGCAGAAATAAGACCTGACACAGAGAGGACAAAAAGAATGTTAGAAACAGCAGAGATAAAAACACTTAAAAAAAATTGATGGTAAGACACTATGGGACAGAGCTAGAACTACAGGTATACGACGTAGATGCAAGGTTGAGAACATCAAGAACTTATTCTCAATAAAAATAGTAAGTTGCCCTTTTAATCAATTCGCCCAAATTTGATTGTCTTTAGATTTTGATTGACAAGATGATGATTTTGATTGTCAAGACAACTGATTTATTTTTTATTAAAATTATAATATACAGGATGTTTAATTTAAAATTATTGACTTATTATCGTCACAAATGAAGTATCATTTGTGAACACCCTGTACTTAGCAATTCGATTTTGATATAAATTCCTGAAAGAACGTTACCTATTCTTTGTCTGCAAAAGTTTTTAAGACATCATGTTTGTAAATGGATCAGCTATTAACTTTAAAAAGTTTGTCTCTATTTGTCAAAATGTTTGAAAAAGTTAAATAACTCAAAAAGTATGAAGTTTTTACCTATGGTACATCATACAAGTTTTATCTAGAATTTTATGCAAAATCTAAAAGTACAATAATATACAGGATGATCCATTTAAAATAACAAAGTTACTGTTCACTTGTGGCATGTCTGTCAAAATATTCTCTTTAAGTTTTTCATAACTTGAAATCCCCATAAACCAATTTTCATAAATATCGTCCATGTATCTACATAGTAGATTCCGATATATAGATAGTGTAAGCTCGTCGTGACACACCCTCTATATATATACATATAAAATTCTCGTATCACAGTATTAGTTACCATACTCCTCCCTCCGAAACAGCTGGACCGATTTTTATGAAATTTTAATTCTTTAGTTCGGGAACGGCACGAGTAAAGTGTTGTGTACTGTTGCATACTGTATTAATAAATTTATTTTTTCTAGAACAAAGACCTAAAAGTCCTGTCATTCAGAAATATCCAGAGCTTATGTTTGACCCGACCTGGTTTAATCTACACCATTATATGCCACCTGCTCCAATGTTTCCGGATCCATACCATATGGGAGGATTCATACCGAGGGGGAGAGGTTTTCCGAGACTGCCAAATATTCCTGGACCTTCAAGGGGTAATTTTTTGTCCATTTTTATTCTTAAAAAAGAGTAGACGTATAAATTTGATTCTGTCATTTAATTAAATATTGCATTGATCGGAACTAGTTTGACAGCAAACACGGATTTTTTTGTAGCAATATAATAGTATTGCGTTTATGATCCAAATATGTGAATTTGTATATTCCTGTTTTATTTTAGGTGGTTTTAGCCGAAGAAGAGCAGGCTTCCGATATAGAGGAGGTCATAGAGGTGGAGGAAATTTCAACAACTATCATACAGATTTAGATGAAGAATTTTTAAAATTCATGAATGACCATGACGACAGACAAAGAAAGTCGTACCCTCCAAATAGACGAGATAGGCGAAGATCTAAATCCAGATCACGTTCTAGAAGATCGTATAGTAGATCTTATACTCGTTCAAGAAGTAGATCGAGGAAAAGGTCTAGATCGAGAAGATCTAGATCTTACAGTTACAGATCAAGGTCGAAATCACAAAAAAGATCTTACACAAGATCAAGAAGTAGATCAAGGTCTAGAAGAAAGTCACGTGAACGGTCTAGATCCAAGGAGAGGAGTCGTCGATCGAAGAGCAGATCTAGAGAAAAAAACAGAAATAGATCGACAGAATCAAAAAGGAAAAGCAGTGAAAGGCGATCCAATAAATCCAGAGGATCATCTCGGGATAATACTAAAGCAAAATCCACTTCTGTTTCATCTCCAGTTAGAGAAAAATCTGTAGACAGTTCCAGTTTTATGACGCCTCGAGAGCTTCATGAGAAACGAGATAGATCAAGGTCTTGGTCTCTACCAAAGGAAGGCGACGAAAAAGGAAGATCATGGTCCAAATCTCCAGAGAAAAAATGATTAATACAGTTATTCGATTCGAAATGATACTTTTATTGTTAAACACTAAAAATCATTGTTTTTTAAATTTGATTAGAACTAAAACAGTTTGGTTTAAAAGCATAAAAATGGAAAGATTCGAGAATAAACTTTAAAACATCGTACTGAATTAAAATGGAAAGAAGATAAAATAGGAATTTAGTTCCAAGTACTTTATCCAATATTGGTGAATAATTATTCGGTCTCTTTAAGTTTTTAAGTCTATTTTAGAATGCGTTCAAAATGTCTACAACTGTCAACTCTTCTTCATTTGACCCAAAACGTTTTAGCAACAATTTTCCTTTTGAGAATTGAAAGTCGTCTTTCTTCAAATCTTTTTCTTTTTCTAGTTCAATGACCATTGACGGTCGTTGGATATTATTGGCTACCATATTCGCTACTATTGACAGCAGCTCTAAATAATAATATAATCGATTTGAGACTTTTCAGCCGTAAAAAAATTCATATTTTAAATGTATGCCAGCTTGTATGCTAAGGACTTCCTCGTTTCTAACTCTGTCGACCTATTTATCGACATCTCAAATGCTTCTTTCACTCCATATAGTAGCACTGGAAAGATATATCAGTTTGTCATTCTAACGCAAAGGCCAGTACTAAGATCGTAGCTGCAAAGTACGAATTTTTACAAATTTAACTCGTGATTCTCGTTCTATTCGGCTTTTAATTTCTACAGTTGTATCGCAGATACAGGTCTGGTTTACTTTGTTCATTAGACTTTGAAAGTCTTTACTGAAATTAGTCAGCATTAAGGTATCGTCAGCGTATGTAATATCAGCAAAAGGACTTTATTTAACGACTGAATTATGGTGCTCTCTTGGGAGGATACTAACCTCTGTATAAAATTGACGCGTCTTCCTTGCATATGCAAAACTTAAGGATAGCCAAGAACAAGTATGAAGTAATAAAAACCAAGATATTTTCGAATTCCTAGATAAGGTTGAAATAGGAGTCGGGATAAAAGTTAACCATGCGTCCCACATGTTTTTAGGGGTGTCTTCTCATTTATTGTCGTGGTTACCAAAAAAACCTTCATGCTGTTACGAAATGTGTTTTGAGTTACCATTTTAACGTGAAAAATTTAAATAATATAAAAAGTTACTCTTTAAATGGGAATAAGCCACAATTAAAGGTTAAAGTAAGTTTATTTATTTATTTAAATAAACTTAGTTTAACCTTTAATTGTGGCTTATTCCCATTTAAATAAAAATTACTTTAAAATCCACAAGAAAATAGCTTCAGAACAATATAAGGAGCTTTTAAATAATGTCATATGTTAAAACAATTACGAATAATAAAACGAAATGTGTATAATATAAAACAAAATATATAAAATATTTAAGTAAACATAAAATACTTTTCCAAACAGGTAACATAGTCCAGTATATTTTAGGTTGTTTTAACTTATTTTTCATCTTTAGCTCCTGTATTTCTTTAGCAACTAGACATCCCTGTAATTTACAGGATGTTTCTTGCCGCAGTTTACACATTTTGGTTCAGTATCTTTTTGTTTTTTACATAAATAAGTAAGATGCCTACTCGTACATATGACACACGGTGGTTTTTTCGCACAGTAGTCTTGAATATGTCCGAAAGCCTGGCACCGCCTACATTGTGAAACTAGTG